TGTTTGGTTTGGTTTCGGCTTGGGGGCGGACTTAGTTGGCATTGAGTGTGTTGGGGGCTGCAGCAGAGCTGAGGCCTGGCCAGATGGAAAGGGCTGGCAGGGGCCGTGCGGGGTCAGCATGGTCGGCCATATCCTGTCAGGGGGTAGCTCGGAGACGCCGCCAGCTTCCTTTGATCCTGTGCCTTTGGAGCCTCTGGTCTCTCATGTGGGGGCATGTGGGTGGGGGCTGCTGGAGCCCACTGAGGCCAGGTCAGAGCCTGGGGATCTGGGATGGCAGCGTCTGGTTGACGTTGACCAAAACGCTTCACTGGTGTTGCTCCAGGGCAGTGGTGTGGTCCTCTCCTGTCCTGCTAGCATCTGTCTGTCCACTCAAGACCTGTGGGCTGGGTGAGCTGCTGCGTCTTCCCCGGTCGGACAGCCTAGAGGCTGGCTGGACTCTCGACCTTTCTTTATTGCCTTTTTTTTGCTGCCAGGACTTGGGAGAGATGCCGGGAGGGGCACAGCAGGATGGCCATGTGTCCAGAACCCTGCTGCCCAGCTGCTGCCTGGCTGCTGAAGTAGGCAGAGGCATCTATGTGCCCACCAGGCTGGGCTGCGCAGCGCCCAGGAGTGGGCCCTCACCTGGCCTGTGTGTGGTTCGGCAGGCCCCTGAGGACCACTGCGGGCAGATCTCCCATTCTTTCCCTGGGCTGGAGGCTGGGCATGCTGGTTAGGGGGCTGCGGCTTCCCTCCAGCCTGGGAGCTAACTGCTCCGCAAACGTGCACTGAGATGTGAATTTTATACGTTTGTAGAAATTCTGATGTTACTTCTTCTACCTCTGTGAAGTGTCCTCCTAGGGTCCTGCTCAGTGATGTGTCTGGGCAGCTTCTCTGAGTTGGCCACCCGGGGCCCCCATGCCCTGCTGGCCTCCTGAGCCTCCCCCAGTGCCGCCTGGTAAGGCCCAGGGAAAGCCAGCCCTGGACCTGGCACCCGTGCTCAGGGGTCAGGGCTCCCAGGACTTGTCTTGTCTGTTTGGAAGTCTCTGTTTTGGAGCAGAAATCGGGAGGTGGAATGTTCCAGAATGTCTTCATTGGATGAGTCTGGAACACAGACCTGATGGGCAGCTCCAGGCAGTGAGATCTGGGCAGCTGAGGGCTCCTGTACCTCTGGACAGCCCAGTGCCACCAGGGTCCAGGCATGTAGCTGGTGGGCGTCCCTGGGGCAGCTCCCACCACTCAAGTGTGGGCTCTGCAGACAGCTGGCTCCTGAGGGTGGGTGGCCAGTGTGGGTGGTCTGCATGTGCTGAGGCCAGCCGTGGCCTGGCCCTGGGAAGGGCCATGTCCAGCCTGGCCTCCCACTGCTGCCCTTGGTTGAAGGGGGCTGAGGGATGGGGCCAGCCTACCCTGAGGAGGTGGGGAACTGGGCCTGCAAGAAGGCTTGGGCTGGGAGGCCCTACAGACAGCTGGCCTGAGGCCTTGAGGTCCTTGGACAGGCCCCACCTTGCTCTGGGCATCCTTCCTCAGAGAAGGCCCTTAGAGGGGACAGGGGGCATGCTCCTCAGGTGGCTTCCTCGGGTGGCTGGCAAGTGCTTGGGGGGCTCTCTGGGCTGGAGGGCCTGGCTCTCCTGGGAGGCACGTGAGCAATGTGAGTGCTTGTCCCTGCCTGCCAGGGGCAGGCTGGCTTCCGCGGCCCCTAACCCTGGCCCTTGCTATGCTGGGGCCAGGTGGGGGCCTGGGCGGCACGCATGGGGCCACCTTCCTGTCAGTGTCCATGGCTGGACAGTAGCCCCCAAGCCCTGGGAGCCCCCACCTCTCCCTGGCCAGGCAGGTGGTGTTGCTGCTGTGTCCTGTGTTACCTGCTGCTCCTGTGTCTGTTTGAAGCCACTTCTGTGAATCACTTTTGGCCACAGGCCTGTGTTCCTGTCCTAGTGGTCCTATGGCTGAGGCTTTTAGGGTTTGAGTTCTGGGCAGACCCTGGAATATGTTTGCTCCTTGGTGCCAGCGATGTGCTTCCAGCGGTGGTGTGAGGTCCACTGGCAAGTGGGCGGCCCAGGGCCTGGGGTGGAAGAGGGTGAGCCCTGACCTACCATTGTCGGATGTATTTTTTTTTTTACAGCAATAATTAGCCATTTTGAAGAAGGGGTGTGCCTGTGTGTGTGCGCATGCACATGTGTGCGCCTGTATGTGCATGTGTGTGTGCGTGTGTGCCTGTGCTGTGTGTGTGTGTGCACACTCGTGTGGTGACAGGGAGGGAACCTGGTGGCCAAAGGCCTCCTGCTCCAGCCGTGGAAGGGGAGGCCAGGAGGTGCTTGGCAGGGACAGGCTGGCCCTAAGGCCTGTGCCCAGAAGCAGGGTCCTTGTGTAACCATGCCCCAGCTCTGCTGCTGTATGACTCTCCCTTCTCTGGGGCCTGCCCGGGGCCCAGCAGACCTTGAGCAGTGCTCCTTCCCCCTTGGAGAGGGTGCTGGATGGGCCTGCATGAAGGAGGGGGGGCGACCCAGGATGAGCCTTTGCCTGGATCTCAGCGTGTGGGAAGGGTGGCAGGGGTGGTGACACTCAGCCACACTGGCCGAGATTAGATTTGGTGACACGGAGTCACCTGGACCAGGCTGTCTGACCACAGCTGCATGGATGCCGTGTCTTTGGGAGAGCGGAACCCAGAGCATGCCATGGTGACTGGCTTCACTTACTGTGGTTTACTATTTATGAGCCCACGATTATGGTGACTGTCCTGAGACCCCAGGATGTGCCAAAAGAGCCCCAAGAGGGCCCGGAGGGGCAGCGGGCCAAGTTTCAGAGGAGACAGGCTTCAGGGCCAGGGGTGGGTAGGGGTCCCAGGCTTCCTGTGGGTGTGTGAGCAGCAGGAGGGGTGGGGAGCGGTGTGGTCCCTCCGCCTGCACGGCCTCCAATGCTGCTGTTTTTCAATAAAACCAGAGTTGACGGAACTGGGCTCCCGTGCTTTCTTGAGCTGTTTCCCGCCCAGTGCTGGGCCAGGAAGGGCTACTTTCCTGGAGACGCTGGGCTCCTCCTCCAGGAAGCTGGAGCAGGTGCCCAGGGTGACCTGTGGGGCTGAGAGGCCCCTGTCTCTGTGCTGGCAACCTCAGCCAGGCACCCCACTGCAGGCTGGGGTGTCCGCCCACCCGCTTCACACCTCCCAGGAGCAGTTTGGCTCTGAGGGGTGGTGAGAGGGTGACCTGGGAGGGGTGGTGGCAGCCTGGTGTCTGTAAGGAAGGGAGGACGGCATGGGGTGGGGGGTCCAGGCTGAGGAGCAGGGCAAGTTGGGGCTCAGGGACAGGCAGGTTCAGGGTGGACACAGCTCTTCGCAGTGAGCCTTCCTCTGGTCATGCTCCTTCCACCCTGGCCCAGCTCCCCTCATGGGAGGAACTGACCTTGGCAATTCCTTCCCCAAAGGCTCTGCCCCCTCAGCATCAGGAGGGCATCAGGTGAGCTCCCTTCTCTGGGAGCGTCTAGGATGAGACCAGTGTCAGTGGGTCTTGAAGCCTGAAGGCACCAGCACTGGGATGTGCCCACCCCGTGGTTGCTTCCCTGCGTGGCATAAATGCCCCCGGTGCCCAGGGAACACAGGCATGTTTGGAGTCAGCTCCTGAGGCCACTCGTTTGTTTTGAGTGAGATGTACCATGTGAAGCCTGGCAGTGGTTGTGCCTCTCAGGTGACACAGCATAAAAACAGGCTGCCAGAAGTGTGGCTACTCACATGCCACAGCACATGGACACAACACAGGCAGCTGGAGTGGAGGGGCCCAGCAGCAGTTCTGGGCCAGCTCTCCTGATTCTGGAATGGTCAGTCACACAGTGGTCAGGCCTGGCCATCCAGATCCTGCCCACCCCGTGAAACCAGTGACAATATCTTGAAGCCATGAGGAAAATGGGCCTGGGCCCAGTACACTGTGAAGACCCGCGTCACCCTGAAAAGATGATGCCATGTCCAGTGGGCTTTGTGAGGAGGCAGCGAGTAAAACCCTGTCACCATTCAAACAAGAGCAGCCATGGCACGTGCAAGAGGCAGTGCTTTTGCCCAGACCTGGAGCTGCATCTGGGCACCCATCAACATGTTCACCCCACCCTGGACAGGTGCCGCGGGACCCAGCACCCCACTTACAGGGTGGCACGTGGAGTCCAGACCCAGATAAGGAAGCAAGTGGGAGGGGCTGAAGCCCCTCAGGGTGCCAGGGAGGTCTGGAAATGGGACCCCAGGGCACATTCCCAGAGGCTGAGATAGAGGCAACAGAGCAGTGGTGCAGAGTGTGGGCCCGGGCTGTAATCTCACACAGCCTGCACGCTTACTAGCCGTGTGCACTTGTACACGGAGTGTCACCTCTCCATGCCCCACTGTGCAATGGGGGAGCATGTTGGTGCCTCTGTCACAGGCCACTGCGAGGCTCTTGGGGTGTACAGGCTGGGCCCTTCCCTTTGGCACTGGCAGGTCTGTGAGAATGGCTTTAAGAGTAGACTCTGGGGGTGGGGGCGGGGGAGCCAGTGCGTTCCCAGGGACTGGTCACCTGCCTGCAGGAGGCTTGTGGAGAGACGGCAGGGCCCAGGAGCATGTGACTCCGGAAGCCCTGACAGCCTGGCCAGGCCTCTTGGAGACTTGAGCACCCACGCACAGGCCCCTCTGGCCCCCCACAGGAGTCAGTTAGGAACACTCGCCCAATGCCTGCAGTGTGGTGTTCTCTCCAAGCCAGTGCCTGCCCCTGGGGCTGGCCTGGGAGGAAGGTGCATGCCCCACTGTGGGTTGCGGAAGGCTTACAGAGCCAGCAGGAAGGACTCCCCGAGGCCTCCAGGCTGCTGGCTGCTCCTCAGGCACTTTCTAGGTGGTGTGCAGCTGTCAACCTGGAGGCACCCACCCCTAGCTCCACGGGAGAAGGGCTGGGGGTGCCCGCTCTGGGCTGGGCTGGGCCACTCCCATTGGGGGCACTCAGCCCTGACTCTGATCAAGTGGCTGAGGGTTGTAGACATGGCATTTCCCACCCACGGGAACAATTCACTCGGACAGGGATGAGGACAGCTTTGCATAAGACATTTACTCCAGGGGATGACCCAGGGGGTGAATGTGGCCCTTGCCAGGGTCTGCTCTAGCCACAGAGCTGGTACAAAGTGCCGCTGACCTTGGGGAAGGCCACACAATGGGCTGGTGGAAACTAGTTCTCTCCTCCTGCTGTTGCCTGGGGCTACAGACAAAATGAAGGCGAAAAATGCACGCGCTGGGGGTAGGTGCTGACGAGGGGCCCTGCAGTGGCTAGGCGGTTGCTTGGAGACTCAGCAGGACGTGGGCTGGGCCGAGGGCCTGGGGCCTCCTGCAGAGGCACCAAGTGTCCCCACGAGCGGCCGGCACTCAGGCTCACCTTCAGGGGCACCTGCGGGTGGCAGCCAGAGGTGAGTACTAAGCCCGGGCCAGGCCTCCCTGGCCACCTTCCAGGCCCACACACAGGTGGACAAGGACTCACAGTGCACAGGCAGCCACTTGGCCAAAGACACGATTAGACACAGCCACAGCAACACTGCTGCGGACAGATGTACACTCATGCACACTGGCAGTAATAGGCAGACAGGCTCACACTGCATCCACCCCCGAGTTGTAACACCCCAACCTTGGCTGACCCATGTGGGCCTCTGTGCTAGTGAGCAGGCCTTGAGCAGGGGCTGGGCCAGGTAAGGTGCCTATCTGTGCTCACCACCTCCAGGACCTGCTCCCTGGGGGATCAGCTCTGAGAGATGCCAGGGGAGCTGGAGAGTCCTCCCCGGGACCCTGATCTTGAGTGGGCCCTTGCCCAAGGCCCTGGACCACGGCTTAACAGCTCCCTCTTGCCAGGGAGAGTGGAGGCCATCCATAGCTGCAAGCCCCTGCTACCGGTAGGCCCCCTGCCGCCGGCAGCCCCTGCCACCTGCAGGACTACTAGTGGGATAGGATGGGGCTTCCTGGGCTTCCAGGGACCGCAGGGCCCCCAGTGTCTCTGCCTGTTGCAGGAGCAAGCATGGACTACCCTGGAACACAGGAATTCCCAACCCTGGTTGGACCCATGTGGGCACTCTTTCATCCGGCCAAGCTGCAGCCTGTAGGGCGAGGTGAGGGGTGCTGTGGGTGTGAAGTTAATGATGGGATTCGTGCCCTGACACCAGGGGCCCAGAACATGGCCACGGCACACTGAAGGGAAGAGCGAGGAGGGAGAGGAGAGCCTTACCCAGAAGAGTGGAGACCACCAAGGGAGGAGGCGAGAGCCAGCCCTTCCTAGGTGACTCCCAGGTGCCTGTTGGGCCAGAGCCCTCCTCCCAGGTGACAGGGAAGAGTGACAGAAATGTCTCCGACCCTGCTTGGGTGGTCTGCACAGGCTTCTGGGACTCCCACCTCCTCGTTATTCCTCCATCTTCCTTACCACCCTTGGGGAGCCTGGACCCAGAAGTCTTCCTGACAAGGACTTGGAGCCCCCTCCGAGAAATGACCAGCTAGGAGTGGGCCTGGGACCAGGATGGCATGCCCCGGGGTAGGTGGGAGCGGCACCGGGTGGAGGCTTGATGACACATCTCGCCAAGCCTTGAGGGGATACCTGGCCCAGCGTTCTCAGCCCCTGAGGACACCCACTGTGGCTTCTCACCAGGCAGATGGGCCACACCTTGTCATCCGGGGTAACTTTGCCCCTTGGCTGGGCAGGTGAGGGAGGGCAGCAGTCTGGGGGAGGCCCCTTGGGGAAGTGGACTCTCCTTTCCCACTTGGGCAGCTCTGGCTGTGAGTGTGCAGCTGGGGAGGCCTGACGAGGCTGAGTGTGACTGCCCAGCTCCCCACCCCTTCCCCCTCACCTGCAGCTGCAGCTCCAATGCCTGCACGTGCTGCAAGGACTCCATGGTTCCCCTGACTAGAGCTAGGACAAAGGGAAAAGAGAGGGGGGCAGGAGAACATCAGACCCCAGCCCTGCCCCGGCCCCACAGGCTCCCCAGTTGCTTCCCGAGTCCACACGGTCACCTGCGCTAGTTGGTCTGGCAGCTCCCACTGGCTACATCCACAGCACAGGCTTGAAGGGGCCTTAATTGCTCCAACCATGGGTCCCCAGGGGTGAGGAGAGCTCTTTAGGTCCCAGAGCAATGCTGTGGCCCCACCCACTCATTTTTCTGCTGCGGGCCAGCACTACTCAGCCTCAGGCTCAGCTTGCTGGTATGGGGCCTGGCCAGGCAGGGTGGGAGCAGGTGCCATGCCAGGGCCTCCAGCTCTCTGTCCAGAGGCTCTGGGGCTGAGAGGAGGGAGGAGCACGAGGCAACCCATGTTCCCTGCAAACTCCCTGTTCCAGGTAACAGTAAAGGCCCTAAGGGCAGCTCCATGGTGTTGGCACTTGGTCCCACCGTGGGGCCTGGGTCACCATGGGGCAGTGGGGCTTGGGCCCTGGGAAAGGGAGCAGTCCAGGTCAGGTGGGGTGGTCAGCTGGGTCAGTGTTTCTCAGTTTGCTCTGAACTCTTTTGCCTCTTTGATAAATGAATATTTCATCCCATCCTACTAAGTTATCTGACATTTCAGTACAAAGATTGCAACAAAAACACCCAAGGAATGGGGAGATGCTGCCTTGTTCTTTGTCCTCTGTGGCTCTAGGGTTAACTGGCCGATTCCCTGGGGCACTGGTCCCTGGGGTGCGGGAGCAAGGCCAGCAGCTCCCTGAGGCCCGCAGATCCTGACTCTGTGTCCTGGTTTCCTCCTCTGTGCTGTGCAGGGCTCTGGCAGTGGCAGGAGGAGCTGGTCACTGTAGTCACTGCCATAGGGCTGTCAGGGTGGCAGGTAGGCAGCACTGTCTGCAGCCCCTGTGGCCTGGCATGCACCTCGGGGAGCCTGCAGAGGGCCCTGGCCACCCTGCTGGGGCTAAGCTGGGTGTGCAGACAACGCCAGGTCCTCCTACGTGTGCCCTCCTCTGCGACAGACTGCATGAGTGACCCCAAGCAGCTGCTGCACAGAGGGACAGTGACTGTTGAGCTGAGCTGGCTCTCAGCCCAGGGGTCTCCCTGCAGGTCACCCTACCCTCCCTAGCCTCCAGCACACAGCCCATGAGGGCAGGGTTCCTGGTCCTGGGAGCTGCAGAGCCTTCAGCCTGGTGTCTGCCCCATGGGCCACTGGCAGGTGTGTCTTGACCACCCAGTCCTTCAGAGGTGGCCAGAGGCCCAGCTCAATACCTGGTTCACCTGTCCCGCAGTCCCTGGCAGTGTCATGGCCAGGTGGTGCCTCTACAGCTGCTGCCTGGCCTGAGGGCCCAAAGTCCTACAGGGAGCCACAGGGAGCATCCAGGGGCTGGCCTGGAGAACAGGGGAAATAGGCTGTCCCTAAGAAGGCTCCCTGCGGGTTTGGAACTTTTCCTTTCTTTTTTAAATCAACAGCCGAGCGCATGTCAGACCCATCAAATGGTTACACGGGGTGGGTTTGTTTTCACGCCCATTATCTCCAAACAATTTCAAGTGACACAGCCTGCCTATAGGATGGACTCCCCACTCAGGATGGAGTCCCCACTGTAGGATTGGGTCCCTGCTGTACGATGGGGTCCCCACTTAGGATGGAGATCCCACTTAGGAGAGAGTCCCTGCTATAGGATGGGGTCCCTGCTGTGGGATGGAGTCCTCGCTTAGGATGGGGTCCCCACTTAGGATGGAGTCCCCATTTAGGATGGGGTCTCCGCTTAGGATGGGGTCCCAGCTGTAGGACAGGGTCCCCACTTAGGACGCTGCTGTAGGATGGGGTCCCGCTCTAGGATGGATCCCCACTTAGGATGGGGTGCCCACTGTACAACAGGCTCCCACTTAGGATGGGGTCCCTGCTGTAGGATAGAGTCCTCACCATGGATGGGATCCCTACTTAGGAGAGAGTCTCTGCTTAGGATGGGGTCCCAGCTATAGGACCGGGTCCCCACTCGGGGATGGGGTCCCCACTGTAGGATGCAGTCCCTACTGAGGATGGGGTCCCCACTGTAGGATGGAGTCCCTGACACGGGGTGGGGGCCCCACTTAGGTTGGGGCCACCAGTAAGGATGGGGTCCCTGCTGTAGGATATGATCCCCACTGTAGGATGGGGTCTCCGCTGGAGGATGAGGTCCCCACTATAGGATGGGGTGGTGGGGTTAGGGGAGGGCTTGGTTAGTTGTTACATGGGAGCTGGTCCCAAGGCTGGCATCCAGCCCTAATGCCCAACTCTGCAATCTCTTCCCAATCCCCCACAGGCTCCTCCACCGACCTGGCAAGACAGGGAGGGGCACTACGGCTCCTGTTCTCACCAGCGAGGCCAGGGAGGCCAGAAGAGGGGTCCCCTCCTCCACCACTAGCGGTTGTGTTACAGGGAGAAGGTCCTGGTCCTCCCTGAAGGCTGAGTGGGGGATCAGGTGGTCGCTGTCTTTCAAGAACCCCCGAGGGCTGACTGCAACAGCCCTCAGAGAGGGCAGGGTGACCCAGGCTTGGAGTCCACACTGAGCTTGGGCATCAGCCATCTGAACCCCCCAACACCAACTCCCTTGTGGCTCCACAGCCAGGTCCCCACCAGCCTGGGAGGCCCTGATGCCCCCCATCTTTCCAGGGCCCCTTCCACTGAGGCCTGGCCCCACACTAAAGCACTGTGTATTCCCTGAGGGCTGCTGGCCAGGGCGCTGCCTGTCTACGCCTTTCAAGGGTCCCCAACCCAGGCTGGCCCCTCTGCCTGCCAGGGTCCAAGTGATACGCAGCACGAGGACAGAAGGAGCCTGTGAGCCCACTGTGGGCAGACGCCGGGCCAGACACAGGGGAGATGCTTTAACTATTCATGAAATAAAGGTGACTCTGTGCTACCCTGGGCTCACCTGAAAACTCAGGAACCTGTGAGTCTTCCACTTCAAACAGCAGCTCATCGTGAATTTGGGCGACCAACCTGGAAGACACGGAGGGGCAGGGAGTCACCCTGCGCTTCATGCCTTCTAGACACCGTGCTCTGTCTGCACAGCAAGGCGGGGCATCAGCCAGGGGGCACATTGGGGGAGTGTGGGGAGCTGGGGATGGTGCTGCCCCATCCTTCAAGGTTCTGGCACAGGGTGCCCGAGGGGATGTGGCTCAGTGGGGAATGGGAGGACCTGGCTGGGGACCTGCTGTCTGGGGTCACCCCAGCATCACCAGGACAGCCCCCAGGGAGGAGGGGGCACAGATTAGAAGTGACTAGTGAGTGGAGGCAGAGGCCCAGAGCAAGGGGCCACGCAACCCCCTATCCCGTCCTGGCCTGGGGAACCTGACGAGGGCATAGTGGGGAGGAGCATTTTGTGTCTGGAAGTCTGAGCAGGAGTGGGAGAAGAGCCCCCTTGGACCGTTCTGGGCACGGGGCCCTGACATGGATTTAGGAGGAGGCTCTCCGCTGACCACTGGGTTTGGGCCTGCTGTGATGGGGGGTAGAGATGACTCTGGAATGTGAGGGCCTCTTGGGAAGCTGGGGGCACCCTCACTTTGAAAACTAGCTTAGGGGAAGGTGTTGGGAGGGACAATGCTCCAAAAGCAAATTAAAAATTTACTTTTGAAGTCAAAGAAACACTTAATAAAACTTGGAAAGTACATCAAAATTCTAAAGCGCAAAACAAAAACCTCCCCAGCTCCCCGTCCCCAACCCCAGACGCCACTTGGGACGTCCCACCAGGACTCGACAAGCACCTTTTCAGAGTCAACCCCACACTATGTGCACAAGACCTCAGCATGTCCCTGTTCGTGGGTCCTGGCCCACAGCCTGGGCACCTCGCTGAAGCCCACACCTGGCCACTTCCTGCCAGAGACCTGCCCTCTCCTTGCTCAGCTCTGGGCCTGAGGGCTGAGCCCCACGGACTCCATCACAGGCTGAGAGAGGGCAGGTGCTCATTCTGGCTCCCACAGCTGGGCAAGTCCCTGTACTGGAGGCTGCCCTGGCTCCGTGTCCCTGCCACCCCCGGTGTGTCCCCACCCTTCCTGAGCAGCCCCCTCTCCAAACCCCTTCAGGCATCCCCCTCAGGGGTGGCTCTCCCTACCTACCTCAGTAGGGAGAGGAAGTGGGAGATGTGGGCATGGATGCTGTAGGGAAAGGAAGGAGGTGTGGGAGCAGGGGTCTTAAGAGGACTTAGACTCAAGTGACAGGGGCCGGCAGGTACAAATGTGTGCATGGGGCAGGGATGGACCCAGGGGGACACTCCCCTTGAGGGATCAGCTCTTGAAGCTCCATGTTGGCTGCACAGAACACAGCTGTAGCTGGCTTTGGCCAGCAGGTACCAGATTCGACAGGCTCTTTAGTAGGTGGGACCTGGGTCGGCAGATGAGGGTGGCTTGACCGTACACTCGGGGAGGGGTGTAGTGCGGCACACAGGACGATCTTGAGGGTCTGTGGCCCTCTAGAAAGGATGGTGGGCATCAGAGGGTCCCACGTGCTCTGCCCTCTGCATGACCTGGTCTCTGTCTCTGGGCTGGGCCTTGGAGGGCAGGGGGCACGTTGGGTCACTGCTGCCTGTCCACAGTAGGCACAGCATGTGCGGGAAGGGGCAGCAGGCAGACCACCACGGGCGGCAGCGCTATGGGCCCAGAGGCACCAGGAAGTTGGGGCAGGTGTGGTGAGGCCCATCGGCAACAGGTCGTCATGATGGTGAGCCCTGGCTGCGGGGAGGGAGCAGCTCTTTAAACCCAGTGCAGAGATGGGCTGTGCTGGCACTTTCAGTAGAAGATGCACAGGACTTGGGAGCAGAGATTTATAGGGGTCTACCCTGATCCATTCTTCCTCTTTCTTTGTCATTGGGTGGGGTGGAGCAAGGACTGTGTCCCCAGCTACAAACATTTCCCAGGGCTCTATCTCAGATGGGGTGGCTCCTGAGGTATATCCCTTACAACTTCCAGGAAGGCTCTTTATAGGGCTAACTTAGCCCAGAGTCAGGTACCCTTTTGACTGTCACTTTATCCTTTTGCCTGCAAGGCATGATGGCTGAAGCAGCCACCTCTATCGTGGCACCAAGAGGGAAAGGGCCAGGAAGCCAAGGGACCTTAGTCCTACTGCCCTGAACCTCTGAACCAAAGTCAGCAACTGTGGTGCTCTGGACTTCTCATGATGGGAGAAAAATCCACCTTTAGGGATCTGACCGGCTGCAGCTGGGCTGGTGTTACTAGTGGCAAGTGCACATCCTCACGGGAGTGAATGCACAGGATATCATGCTGGGCCCAGACCACGGAGCAGGCTGCCGGCCCACAGGCCCCCGTGGCTGCCCCTCAGGGAGTGTGCCTGTGTGTTATGTGCAGCCTCTGGCCAAATGCTCTCAGCACTGCCCTTCCAGAAGCCAGACCAGGCTGGCAGCATTCGCTTTCTTAAACTAACTTCAAGGCCTCTAGTGGAGTCTTCGGCTCCCAAAGGACTTAGGTTTTTAAATGGGCAGATATCTCAGAATAGGCACTTGTAACTTTTTCCAGATTTAGCAGAAACAGTTTTCACACTTCTTGAAATTACATTGTGAAATTCTAAGCTGCTGGTGTGGCAGCAACCTAAGAATAGGTTTGAACTGCTAGTCACTTACACATCACTCTCACAGCTGACTGTGACATTACCATATTCCTAACTGGAAATTGGGGCACAGGAAAGAAGGAGAACTGGAGAGGCCCCTGCATGGGGCAGATGATCACAGGTGCCAGACTCCGTCAGTTCCCAGAAGCAAGCTGATCGCTAAGGTAACTTCCCATCCCACTGTCCTGCACTGGGATGAAGTAACCGAGGCCACACAGAACCGTGATCCCATGGGAGAACACTCTGGAAAAGGCTTAGCTCATCTGCCTGTCTGTGGCCTGCCCGGGGCAGCTCCCTTCTGGGCGCCCCGCAGTCCCTCTGTGCCCATCATGGTCCAGCCTTGAAACGGCTGTGTCCTTCCTGCCCTCAGAAGCAGGGCTCAGGAGGTGCTAAGGACTCTCTGCCTGCCACCCTTTCATCTTGGGAAGTCCAGGTCCTGCCAGCACTCACAGTCCATCGAGGCCACTCCCCACTGCTGGGCTGGTCCTCTCGCCTTCCCTGGGCCCCAGGCACCTTTTCCGCCACTTTCTGAGGCTGAGAGAACAAGTGCCCTGTGCTGAGCTAGGTCTGGACACAGGGTACCCTTCGGTTTGTGCTGCACTGTGAGGTGGCCAGAGGTCAGAGGGTTGCCCCAGTGCTGAGCAGATATCCCCGTCTTCCACAGACACCCCTCCACCGGCCCCAGGGCAAAGGAGCAAGTGTCTTCCTGAGGCTGCCACTGTCCTGAGTGGGGAGTCAGGCGGGGCTCCTGGTCCTCTCCATGGAGGGGCAGTGTCTTCCTGAGGCCACCGCTGTCCTGAGTGGGGAATTAGGCGGGGCTCCTGGTCCTCTCCATGGAGGGGCAGTGAAGGGAAAAGTGCAGCTTGAGGCAGGAGGCCCGGTGCTGGTCTAGCTCTGCGTGAACTTAGACACATTGCATCATGCTCTGAGCCTCAGTTACCCCTTCTCTACAGTCAGGTCTTGCAGCCAACAATCTCTGAAGCTTCTTTCTAGCTCTGATATGTTCTAACACCTGGAAAGGCCTTTTCACAGAGGTCCCGTGCTGGAAGAGACAGAGAGGGGAGCTGGATTGCCTGGCCAGTAGGCTCGCGAACACTAACAACTAAGCCAACGACCAAGTGAGTTCTCTGGGCAAAGGCAGAGCTTAGGGTCAGAAGCTCACCTGGCCTTCCTGTTTTGGGCCTGTGGGCAGCGAGTAGAGACTGTCCTGTGGCTCCAGCCCACAGGGGCACTTAGGGGCCACTGGATGAGGCTCTCGGGGTACCTGCTCCCTTTGTAGGACCATGAGCCCCCTGGTGATGCACTTCACTCACGCTGTTTCAGGCAGATACAAGCTCACACTTAGCTGGTATCTGCCCCTTCTAGACACAATCTAGAACCTTTTCTATTACTCGGGGGAGAACAAATCAAGTTCACAAAACACAGAGTATGAAATGCCCCACCAGAGTATGAAATTCCACACCAATATGTTTTGTTTCCTAAAACAACAAAATGCATTTTGTTATGAAAAGCATTTCCTAAAGACAGTAAAGGGCTGATAATAGAAAGATGATCAGCCATGGTGTCAAATTCCTGGGTAAGAATTGTTTATGCTCAGCTCAGGACTCTGTCACCAAAAAAGACCCCAAAGCCTCATATACCAACTGCCTTGATCAGTCCCACGAAAACCAAAAACGGATCAGACTTTTCTAGACATACAATATCATAGACGCAGAATAACAGTTTGGCTTTTGATTCCTGCCAAGATGGTGAGCTAGCACAGCCTGCTCATACCCCCTCCCAATTTACCCTACAGAAACTACAGAAGTGAGCAGGATGTATGGATTCAGGAACTAATCCAAAAACCATGAGGAAACCCTGGGATGGGTAGCTAGAGGCGTCTGGCATTGGTGTGTGTGTGTTTGGGAGGGAGCAGACGGCAGTGAGAGGCGGCAGGAGAAACTCAGTGAGAAGAAAGCATCTTCCATTTTGCACTTGCCTCTCTCCTCCTTGAGTTAATGCAGCAATCAGAGCCAGCAGCCCAGCGCCCAGCACAGGCACCAGCAGGGTGACTGGGGCAGTGCCTGTTGGGTCTCAGGCATCTGGCCTTCCATCCCTTCTCCCCCCCCCCTGGCTGCAGCCCAGGGAAGACCTCCTCCCCATGCTGTTTCTCCCAACGTGTAAGGTGAACCCTGGACTAGAGGAAGTGCTTGCAGGCCTGCAAAGGGGCGAGGCCCACAGTGGTTCTGTGGGGCTTGGGGACAGTCTCCTTTCTTCCCCTTTACTAAGATACCACCCCATAAACCCCAGGGCAGGCCCTTGTCTGGTGCTAACTTCTGTACAAAGTTGCTGAAATCACCGAAGTCAAAATGAACAGTAGGAAAGGTCTGAAGAAATATAGGAGACGGCTTCTTGAAGAAAGAAGGGAGCCCTCAGACAAGGAGAAATCATGCCTTGAGAATGTGAAATGATACCAGAAGCCAAGAGTAAATTGTAAGCTCAGATGGAAAAGGGGGGCCACAGGCAAGCAGGGGCCTGTGTCCGGAAGGCTGCACGGGGAAGGAGGAGGAGGAGGCCAGCTGGCCTCTGTGCTGGTCACAGGCCCTCGGGGTCTTGGGGGAGTGAGCAGGGCTCCCCTGGGAGGGGGCCGGGGAGACAGCTTCACACTTTGCAGGCTAGAGAAGCTGCTGCCACCACTGACATGAGCTTGAATTCCTAGCAGTGGACATGCTGACCCATCTGGGAAGGGCATGTCTGCAGGGACGGGCTCATGCTGGCCTCTTTGAGGCCCCCTCTGACACTGGCAAATGTACATGGGACCAAGGAGGGAGGGAGCCAGAACTGGAGGCAGACACGCTCATTTCTCCAGCGGCCTTCTCTGTTAGCTGCCAAGAAGCTTCCAGGATTCCAGAGGAGAACCCACCCCCTCCCCCTGCACCCAGGGCCAAGGCCCAGGGGTGGGATTGTGGGGGGTGGTTCTAAGCTAGCAGAGGCTGGGCAAGGGCTCCTTGTCACTCAGCCACCCTGATGCTCAGGGTGTGTGCCCCATGGGGAGCAACTGAGGCAGAGACAGAGACTGGAGACAGTTGTGGCCCAGAGGCAGCAGTGGTGGAGCCCTCACCTTCAAGGTGCGTCTGAACATTTGCTCTGGGGGCAGAGATGGCAGCAAGGCAGCAGCAGGAGCTGGGAGTCCGGCACACTGACTGGGGTGGTGGCAATAACAGGGGTGGGAGTGGGGGCAGTTTGGAGCCCCTGTAACCTGTCTAGGGGCTGTGGGTTCTATCTACCTCCGGGGTGGGCAGCTTCACGTGGTGCCCTTGGGCTGTGCCTGAAGAGGTTCAGACGCATGTGAGAGGAGGGGCCTGGGGAGACGCATTTCTGCACCAGGTGAAGCTCCTCAGGAGACCTCCTGGTGTGCCAAAGTGAATGGCCTGTGGTTACCACAGTTGCCTCGAGCAGGCCCTTGGGTGCCTTGCCCAGGCCAAGCGGGGAAGAAAGGGCTCCCCCAGAAGTGCTGAGAGGAACTCAGGCTCCAGGGAGTCCTCTTGCTTGGGGTTGGTCAGCTTGTCAGAATCAGGACCCGCAGATGGGAAATGGCAGGCATTGCTTCAGTCCTGGGAGGAGCATGCACACAGGCCAGCCAGCCCAGGGAAAGGCAGGCCCACGTGCAGGGCCAGGCCCTGGGCAGGTTGGCCACTCACTCACTGACCTGGCTGTCAGGGTGGGGGAAGTGGCCACTGCAGCGAAGATGTGGATCATGGCCATCTTACAGAGGTCCGCGGCTGAGCCTGTGGGGCACAAGAGGTTCTGTTTCATGAACAGTGTGAAGCCCAGGGCCCTGCGGCAGGGACTCAGCCAACAGGGACTGCCCAGCACTGCCAGCCTAGGCTGGCAGTCTCTGTTTGCTACACTGCGTAACGCACGACTCTACGTCCAGCAGGTTGCAACAACCCAGATCTAACATCTCCCAGCTCCTGCAGACCAGGAGCTCAACGTGCGTGGCTGAGTCCCCTGCTCAGGGTCTCACTGGCTGAGATCAGTATGTGACCTGGCCGTGTCCTCAGCTGGAAGCTCGCTAGGGAAGACCCACTTTCAAGTGACCTCAGGTTGTCAGCTAAATTCATTTCCTTGTAGTGGAATGACTGAGGTTCTTGTTTTCCTGCTGGCTGTCAGCTGTGGGTGCTTGCCATGGGCCCTCTCCCCGACAAGCAGTTTGCTCCTTCGCAGCCTGCAGGAGGGCATCTGCTGCTGTGAATCTCTGACTTTGACCGCTAAACCGTCTTTCAAGGGCCCACCTGATTAGGTCAGGCCCACCCAGGATAATTCCCCTTTTGATTAACTCAAAGTCAATTGATTATGGACCTACATGTATCTGCAAACCCTCTTTTGCCATGTAACATGACCTGATCATAGGAGTGATATTACAGCATATTCACAGGTTCTGCCCACACTTGGGGTAAGCACATGGGGCATAGAATCTAGAATTCTGCCCACTGCACCAACTAGCAGAATGACGCCAAGCATGGATCAGGCTCAATCCAAGTTCCCACCACCCTCCAGCTGAGCAGCCTTTCAATCTCATTGATCCTTAGCTTTCCAAAGTATAAAGGGGGCTCCGATACAGCCTCCTAGGTTTTGGTAGGGATAAATTACACCAGTCAGGCATTTATTCATCCAACACTGTGTCAGGCACCCTGCAAGGTGCTGGCCAGCATAGGGGACATGCCTATTCCAGTGCCAGGCACATAGTGGGTGTCTTAATTGGTTCTGATCGTGGGAAACAGACTGAAGTTCAGGTTTCCATTGGCAGTTTTAAACTGCATTAGCTGTTCCTGGTTCCTAAGGTAAATGAAGAAGTACAAGTCCTCAATGGACTGCCTTCCTCCACTGCCAGGCAACGCCCCCAGAATACTGATTTGCTTTTTTCCCATGAGCATGGCAGGAATGCTGGACATGGAAGTCTGGTCTCTGAGGCCGACCTGCTGGCTGTGAGGGGCCTCAGGGCCACGAGAACCCTCTTCTGGGATGGGTTGTCAAGTTGCCTGCTACTTTAGGAAAAGTGCACAGAGCTGGAGAAACAAGGAGGAGGGAGCCGGGGTGGAGAGAGAACAGAGTATGGGTGAAGGGGAAACCCAGGGAGGCAGGGGCTCCGGGGCTGGTCTTGTTGGCTGACTGTCTGCCCACGTGGAGGCAGAACTTTCTTGTGGGCACTGTTTGTTCCTGGCGCCTAGTTGAGCTGAGCACTGATGTTTGTTAAGTGGATGATTGGCAAGTCACTTGTTCAGAGACTCAGATAACACAGGGCGGTGGCTCAGCTGGTAGATGAGCCATCCATGGTAGCTCGATTCTGTGGCCAAGCCTCCTAGCCAGCTGCTCACAGGAACATATCTTATGCACAATTCTTGCTGGAAGGACTCTCTAAAACAGCTTCAGTGCCACCTTGCACACACCTCGCACATACCTAGTGAACACGCCCTGCACACACCTAGTGAACAGAGCTACATGGTCATGACCTGACAACTTCTTCACACTTGAGAACCTGCCTTAGAATCAGAACCATATCAGGATTTGGAGGGCTGTCACCCTCCTTAGCTCTTGTCTGAGTGGTTACACCGAGAGACAGGATTTCCGAAGATTCCGTACTGAGCCCAGGCCAGACCCTAGCAATCGCCCTGCCAGCTGCTGCCAACCCCCCTGTTCTCCAAGGGAAGCACAGAGGCTGAGGCTGACCGGGCAGCGCCGCCACACCTGCCTCTCTGCAGGATTTGCTGGGGCCCTGACTTTCGTGCTGCACCAGTCCAAGCCTGCTCCGTGTCTGCTGGGGTCCCTGCCCATTTTCTTGTTGCAGAACCCCACTCTGGAGGCAGGGTGGTGCAGTAGCCGCCCTTGGACTGGAATCCTACCTCCAGGCTTCCTCCCTGGGCCCTGGAGGCCTCAGTTCTCCATCTGTGACCTACGGGATCACAGATGGGGGTGGTGCCCAACTCCCAGGTTACCCTGAGGCCTCACAGGGACAGCTCATGGCATGCAGCGTGGGAAGCCTCTGATTATAGCTGTCTCACATCACCTCCACGCAGAGACTTGAGCTATTTGAATACTGTGGCTAAAGATGATTATGGGGTTTTCATAACTATAGGCAAACAATGTGTCATCAGTCTTCCAGCCCGCCTCCTGCTGAGGCCTGCGGGATGTGGAGGGAATGCTGGGTTTGGATGCCAAGGTCTCATACCTGCCAGGCATGAGCGGGATGATGGAGAGCCCCAGGCCAAGAGTCTAAGGACTGAGCTCCAGGCCTGGCCTAGTGCTGGCTGGATAGACTCCTAAAGCCTCAGTCTCTCATTTGTAGATACAGGGACAGCATTGCTTCAGACAATCTTTGCGGGGAAATGTCATAATTATAAAGATAACCAGGTACTGAGCACCTGCCGTGCGCCAGGCGTTATTTCACCAGCATCTCCAGGCAGGACAGGAGCAGGAAATATCGTGACAATAATCTAGTGGGTGTCACTCAAGAAGCAAATGGATGCAGGAGGCAAGCTGAGGGGCTCTGGGTACCTTGCACTACGAAGTTCACCGCCTGCCGCTCTGCTTGTGCACGGAGCTGCTGGTCTTGTGCACGGATCCTGGGCAGTGGTCTCCTTCTGCCCATGATGGACGCCACATAGCCTGGGTTACACGGAGGAAAAGCAGGGTGAGAGGCAGAAACAAACAGGCAGTGTGGTGCGCTGGTGGACCATCCTTTGCGGGCATGGATTTCCTCTGATTATGTCCACGGGCCCCAGCAGGACCCCTCATGGCTGCAGCACTGAATCAGAGCGCTGCCAGGAGCCTCACCCAGAGGCCTCCTGGTCTGTCTGTTCACCAAGTGGGTTCTGTGGTGGGAAAGCGAGGACAGCAATAGGGTGGCCTTCACTTGCCTGGTGGCACATTTTTGCACTTCTTTCTGACTTCTAGCTGCACTTAGACCTGACATAGGTCAAGAAAGGACAGTTTTTATATTATAGAGTTTGTAAAAGCTGCTTATGGGACTTGGGTACAGAAGTCATTTTGGACTGTGGTAGCTGGAATGGGGAAGAAAGGCATTAACTCATATTCCATTCAAGGAGGGGGCTGATGGCCTGAGTTGAAGGTCATATCCCCACAGATGAGGGCAGATCCAAGTTTCGTAGGGCCTGAAGCCTCCACAATTTGGGGATCCTTTTTTATTTATTTATTTAAAGATTTTATTTTATTTTTTTCTCCCCAAAGTCCCCGGTACATAGTTGTGTATTTTTAGTTGTGGGCCCTTCTAGTTGTGGCATGTGGGATGCCACCTCAGCATGGCTTGATGAGCAGTGCCATGTCCGTACTCAGGATTCAAACTGGTGAAACCCTGGGCTGCCGAAGCAGAGCATGCGAACTTAACCACTCGACCATGGGGCCTGGCCCCAGGGTCCTTATTTATTTTCTTTTTAATGCTGGGGAAGATAAGCCCTGAGCTAACATTTGTTGCCAATTTTCCTCTTTTCTTTTTTTTTTAATATGAGCTGCCACCACAGCATGGCCACTGACATATGAGTGGTGTGGTTCTGTGCCTAGGAAATGAACCTGGGCAACCGAAGCAGAGTGCCCTGAACTTTAACCACCAGGCCATCAGGGCTGGCCCTGAGGTCCTTTTTAAGAAAATAAACACAAACATGCTGCCTTGGTTGAGTATATTCCTGATCAGAGAGGACTTCTGTTTTACTAGGTATTGGTGAGAACTAAATCCCCAACTCATGACTTTACATGTCTAAGGACTGGAAGAATTTCCCACCATACCATAATTATAAAAATGACAATGGACTGAGTGCCCACTATATGCCAGGCCATATATATAATTAAAGTCTCCTAATAGTGACTGGCAGGGAAGACAAAGAGAGCCCGTGCTTCTGACTGGGAACATTTCAGTCTGTGCTTTTTAACATGTCTAGTGATTTTTGACTGGATGCTGGGTATTGTGAGTCTTATGTTGCTGAGTGCTGGAATTTGATGACTTCGTTTTGAGATTGCCAGGCAGGTCCAGGTTACTTGCTGATCACCTGATTCTGTTGAGGCCTCTTTTCAAGCTTTGTTAGGGTGGGTTTAGAGTAGCCTTTAATCTAGGGCTAGTTTAGATCTACTACTAAGGTGTGACCCTTCTGGGGTCTCTATTGAACATTCCAGATGTCCAGCAAGGACTCTCGACTTTGATGGTCAAAATTCAAACATCTCCTTGCCCTGTGTGAATTCTGGAATTCTTCAGCCTGCTGCTCCCTAGAAATTATTCTGCTTAGTCTAAATTCCACTCTCTTCACATGTATCTTAGCACTCGAAAACAGAGGAGTCCTCTGAAGATTTATGGAATGCTTTCTCTGCATAGCTCCCTCCCCTCTGATACTCTGCCTTGCAAAATCCAGCTGCCTCTGCCTCCCCAATCCTAATCCTTGTCTCCTTCACCCAGCGAGACCACTGTAATCTGCTTGGGTTCCCCTCCTGCACTGTGGTCTGTGCCTCTAGAGACAGGGAGCTCAGAGGGCTCACCTCCTTTGTTCCTTTTCTCTCAGAGACCAGAGTCATATACTGCTCAAGACCCAGTGTCTGAAACAATTGCTTCATATATATTGTCCAGCTTTCTAGTTGTTTATGGTGGGAGGAAAGTATGAACCTAGTTACTCCTTTGTGGCCCAAAGTGGAAGCCTCTGCTCCACACATTTCAATCCTGTTTCTCCTCCACTCAATTCTTGCAGTGCTGGTGATCATCATTCCAGTTCAGGCTGTGAGATTACCTCTAGCTCTGCACCCTCATGATGTTCAGGGAGTGGTCACGGGGTGGAAGGAATGCTCCTGGAAGCCATTCCCTATGCCAGGATAATTAGCATCCTTCAACCACACATGGAAGAACCAATAAGCCACAGGAATATCCACACTGAAATATGAGTTAAATGAGTCACCAACTTGACTTCCCCTTAGCTGGATTCCAAAAATGGCTGTGGCCACTCCAATGCCACCTGGCAGTGAAGGGAGCACGGTGGAGGAAGCTGGAGAGGAAGAGGCAGCAGTCTTAGTCGATTGCAGTTAAAATGCCTTGGTTTTGCCGATTTTACAAAAGATGTGACCATGTGAACACATTGCAGGTCTTCTCACAGGGACTTGGGAGGGGCCCTAACCTTCAGCGTCATCAACATCATGGTATATCTGCCTCATTCACCTGTTCCAACCCCAGAGGGGTCAGGTCTGCCTGCGTGGAGAGCACATGCTCATGGCCCTCCACACAATCTCCTTCACGCCTCTGTTCTGCAGCTGTTGGTCCTGCCTTCTTGGCATCTCTTACCTGTGGTTCTCCCTCCATCCCACCATTTATTGAGCGAACACTCCCATCACCTCTAGACTGATCCCCAGGTGTGCTAGCTCTGACCTCAGTCTCTCCTCCCAATTTATTTTCCACACTGTTGCTGGAATAATTTGTGAAAAACAAAACCCAGGTTCTTTCCATGGCTTGAGGAGCGCCACTCAGGGTCTGGGCTCCACACCTGCCCACATCCCCACCTGCCCACTCTGGGCACCAGTGCTGGTTCTTCCTGGCCTTTCATGTCTCGGCTCAGGTCTCACCTCCTTGTGAGGCCATGGCTAATGGCCTTCTTCAGGGGCCTCCCTCCGTTGCTCACTGCCTCAGCATCCTGTTTGTTTCTTTCACACGCAGGATCCCATCTTTCTGACACTGTCTGAATGTACTTGTTTACTTGTGGGTTACCTGTCTCTCCATGAATTGTAACTCAGGAGAGCAAGGACCTCATATCCCTGGCATCAACACAGTGCCTGACATGAGATAGGCACTCAACAGATGTTTGTGGACGAATTCAATGATTGAGTATTTCTTTACAGTGTCCACCCAGAAGTGTAATTGCTGGGTCAATGGGTGTGCATACTTCACATTTGGATCCTTAAACCCTGTGGCCCTTCAAGGAAGTCAAGTAAAGGAAGGGATGCAGAGCCAAGTAGCCCGGGAGGGCGCTGGCTCTAGGCCTGAGCTGCCTGGGGATGGGTTCAAGCCAGGCACCACCCATTAGCTGTGTGAACTTGGGAAGCTACTTAACCTCTCAGTGACTTGTTTTCTTCATCTGTAAAATGGGAATAACGATACTGCCCACTTTTTAGAGTTGCAGTGAGGATTACAAAGTAAGGCAGTTTACGGAAAGACATTGGAATTCTGCCTATGGTTGGTGCTACATAAGTGCCTACATTTTTATTGTATTCCCATCTACAGTGATACTGGCTCTATGTACTCTCATCAACACTAGGTTCTATCGCTACTTTAATGTTTCAAAATTGATAGTACTTTATCTTTCCAAATTTTGGGGCTCCTGGGTCCAGGAATGGTCAGGGCCTGTGGGGATTCAGCGAGGATACAGGGTGGGGCTCACACGGCGGAGCCTGAGGCCTGTTAGATACTCCCCAGGGGATGGAAACAATTTGCTGGGTTTCCTGTGCCCCACACCAAGGCTGCAGGGAGCTGGGCGCTGAGTGTTCCCAGTGCGCATGGAGGACCCCACGTGGGCTAGTGCCTGGACGCACGGTCAGGCCCAGGAGGAGCCTGTGGAGGAGCCACTGGAACTTATGGGCTTGTGCACGGGCTCCAGAGAGAAAAGTCATCATCGAGCCTCTGGGAGAGTCCAGAAAAGCCTGAGGGAACGCGCTACAGCCATCTGGGAAGGTTGCTGCCGAGGCTGCTTCTCCAGCTGAGGTCATTTTTCAGTTTCAAGTGTGTGCTGGGTTCTCTGCTTTCCCTGTACCTATCACAGATCCTATTTCCTGTTGTCTACTTCATGAATTTCTGCTCTTTCATGTATTTCCTTCCTTCTTCTATCTTTACTTTACTCTGCTGCTCTTTTCCAAATGTCTTGTGTTGAATACAACCCATTTATGTTCACATATTTCTTTCTTTCTTATTAAAATACTTTCTTACAGTATTCCTTCTCCTCTTAGTGAGCTGTCAGCTTGGCCATGTTCCATAATTTCTCATGTGAGATAGTTTTACTGTCATTTATTCCTAAAATGTTTACAATTTTCTCGAGACTTCTTTTTTTCTTTTTGGTGAGGAAGATTCACCCTGAGCTAACATCCGTGCCAATTTTTGTATGTGGGATGCCTCCACAGCATGGCCGATGAGTGGAGTAGGTCCACACCTGGGATACAAACCCATGAACCTGTGCTGCTGAAGCGGAGTGCGTGGAACTACAACCACTTAACCACGGAGCTGGCCCCTTGAGACTTCTTTTCTTTAATTCTAAATCATTGAGGAGTGCAATTAATTTCCAAATAGGTAGATGGATGGATGGCCACACATGTGGATAGAAATAAAACTACTTTTTTCCCCACTGTGGTCACAGAATATGTCCTATTTGATATTCGTTGGAATTTGTGACCAAATTGTAGTGAAATTTTATAAATATATCACATTCATAGGAACATATGTTCTCCATTTTTAGGTGCAGGATTTTTTTTTCTCTCTCTCTATCTATCCATCTATCATTTTCTAACTCGAGCTTCTTAATTTTGTTGCCTCAAGCAGAGGCTGGCTCTGGACCCTTCTCATGTGGGGGTTTTTGGTCCCATTTATCCAGCAGGGGCTGGACACTCACCCAGTTCCCAGCTACCCAGTACCCAGCCTCCATCAACTTCGCTCCACCCTTCAACTCACTACCCTCCCATCTGTCCACCCACCCACCAGAGGAGCAGGGGCCAGGAGACCGCCCAGCTGCTGCAGGCCAGGCGTGGGAGAGGGACAGGGGCCAGCCACTGGCTGTGGCTGCAGCTGGCTCACCTGTCTGGTGACATCGGGCAATGGTTGCTTGGGCAAAGTCCTTGATTTTCTTGTACTTCTGCAAAAAACTCTCCAAAAACCGGGCAGCTTCCTGAACAGTAACTCCAAGGCAAGCAGCAAGCCTCTCTTTCCCTGTATGAGCAGAAACAGTCAAGATCAGAGGCAAGCCCTAATTCACACCCAGCAGGGACTGAGAGCATAAGCTGCCAGGCAATGACCGCTAGGCACAGAAGTGAGCCAACAGAAGGGCTCTCAGAAGACTTGGCGAGTCAAGGTCCAGTTGGCACCACTGTCTCTTCTGATTGGTCAGGATGGTGTTGGCTTTGACTTTACACCTGAGTGCTCAGTGCCGGTCAACCTGGACTGGGGCCTGTTAAACATTTATTTATTCAACAATATTAACTGAGTGCCTGCAGGTGCTGCAGTTGAAGCTGTGAATGAAGTACGTGTAGTCTCTGCTCTCAGCCTGTCCGGAGGGACACCTGATTCTAGAACAAGGGTAAGCTGGAGACGGCCGCCGAGGAAAAGAGGAAGGGAAATTCCATTGCCAAATATGAGAAAATGGTACTTAGGAACTCCCATCCTTGGGATTTTTATTTTTAGACAAACACTTTTGGGCCAGACCAATATTTGGTTCCTAGAGGATACAGGTCTTCTTGTGAAGCTTCTTATAGCAAAGTCTCTGGTTGGGACAGTACCTCAACTGCCAGGATGGCACCCTAAGTTCCAGTGCAGCTTGCTGGGTACACACAGACCTGGGTCTGAGTCCAGCCCTATCACCCATGGGAAGTTATATGGGGCCTTGGGGAAGTTACCTGACCTGCAATACACTCCGTTTCTTCACCTATGACTTAGGAACACTAGTCCTTACCCTCAAGGGTTGGTAACGGAACCACATGAGCCAAAGCAGGTAAAGCTCCAAGCAGAGCCTGGCTTATACTTGGTACTCTATATGCAGTCATTCTCTCCCATTTTTCTCCAGAAAAGAAGAATAATTTAAACAGAGAACGAGGAGCCCATGAAGACAGGTATGGGAGCCTTGCTGGACAGTGGGATCATGGGGAAAAGCCCTGGGCTCCTACGGGCTGTATCAATGGAGGAAACCCCAGAGAGACAAGTGGCTAAAGACCTGAATTCCTGGGAGAGCATGACCAGGACAAGGAATGGGTGGGCTTGTTGTCCTCTGCACTGGGTCAACTCTGGGGTCACACTAGAGAGTATCCCAAGGGGCCTTCAGACAACATGGCCCAGAAACCATAGCCACAGGGGTGGAGATGTGGGGTCTATGAAGACCAGAGAAGAGACCTCCGAAGGAATGGGATAGATTGACCTCTCAGATTCAGTCCTCTCTTCAGCCAGGCCACTCCTGGCCCTGGCCAGCTGATGCTTTCAGTGGTTCTAGCCAGAGTGCTCACATCTTGGGAGAATGAAGGGGCAGATGTTTGCTTCCATTGCTTGTCCAGGAAGAGTGGGAAAGGCTGGGGTGCCCTGTGCTCCCCAAAGATTCTCCCAGCAGAGAGAGCTCTTGGAGCCCTCAGTTCTTTCTCTCTGCCCAGGCCTGCCTGACTATTCTATGTCACTCGGCTAGAAGTGAAAAAAACCTCTAATTCCTTTTTAGGGCTTAATTAAGACCATATGATAGCTTCATGAATACATTATACTGAAATAATCCATTGATAACTCTTTCTGTGACATTCCAATCACTGCTCCTCAGCTATGGCAGTCTAATGGAAAACCCCACTGGCTTTCAGACAGGAATCAGATGGTGGCTAGACATTTCAGGCTGGTCCAGCCGGGTGTGACCCTGAGTCTTTTTATCAGCCAAAAAGAAGCCAGGACTGCTGTTAAGCCCAGTGAGTGAATTTTTATTTCTGATATTGAAGTTTTCAGTTTTAGAATTTCCATTTGGTTCTTTTTAATTCCTGAAATTCCCTTTTTTTCATTCATGATGAGCATATTGTCCTTTACATCCTTGAATTATATCATTATATGATTATAATAGTGACTTTAAAATCCTTGTCTGCTAATTTCAACATCTGGGTCATCACAGTATCTGCTTCCATGATTGCTTTTCTCTTGAGAATGGATCAAGTTATCTTATTTCTTCATATGTTTAGTAATTTTGGATTGTGTCCTGGATATTGTGAATGATATGTTGTAGACACTCTGGATTTTGTTACGTTTTTCTCAGAAGCACTGATTTTTTTTAAAGGGGTAGTTAATTTGGCTGAAGTCTAACTTCAAATTTTGTCCCCCTGCAGTGGGCAGCAGGTGAAATGTCAGACCAGTCTTTCAGCCTTAGCTGGGCTGTTTGAAGTCTAACCTACTTATGCATAGTTAGAGGTCAGGCAGAGGTTTGGGCAGAGTTCATACCCAGCATTTGGTGTTCTCCTTTGGCTCTCCTTTCTGAGATTTCTCCCTTTGCTTTCCAGATTCTCTGGTTGCTTCAAACTCGGTCCTCTGGTTCTTCAAGCTGTTAAGACTATGGATTTCTATCAGAGTTTTAGCCACCCATAGCACTAACTGAGGCTTGCCTTCAGATGAAGAGCTATAAAATGGGAAGCTTATCCTGTACCATTTCTTCCTTCCAAGTGTCAACCCACCTCCAATTGCTGTCTGCTTTTGGTTACTTTTCAATACCTTTAGGTAGTCGTTTATTGTACTTTTTCCATACTTTATATAGTTGATATCTGTTGGAGGGTGGTCTGACGGGAGCTACTTGGCCATTACCAGAAGTCACACTTCTTCTTCTCAATATCTGTGGCTGAGAAAGAATTCTTTTCCTTTCTTCTATCTAGCTGTCGGGCTGTCTGAAGGGCAAGGTCCCTATCATGAAGAAAGCCTATTTACAGGAGAAGCAAGTGAAGTGGCAACTCCAAAAGAAGCAGAGACTAAGACTGAGATGGAGGAAGAGGGTCCAGTCAGTTCTCCAGGCCCTGGATTCTTGCTCCCTTGCAAGTGAGTCTCGTCACATTCAAAGGCCACTGTCACAGGACGACTTCTGGCTCTGTGAGGGCTTCTGTTCCAGGCCTCTTGTCGACTGGCCCCTTCTTCTCCCACAAATTTCTTCAACACTTCGATTCAATTGACCAGATTTCTCCTGTTTAAGTTGGAATCACACACAGCCATGTCTTCCCAAGTGCATCCCTGAGATCAACGATCCTCTTGGGGGAGCATGCGGTGCTCCCCATCTCCAAATCCTGTATGAACACACAGTTTGACTTTCCCCACAGATGGCTAAGTACATCCTGTGTGTGTGTGTGTGTGTGTGTGTGTGTGTTACAATTGTAACTTTAGGAAGACAGTCTTCACTCCTTTTTCTCCAAGTGCTCTTTCACCTCACGCATAATTGCTAACAGTTTCTCACTCTTGTCGTAGGTCTAGGGCCTAGCGACTGCCTGGCACAGAGTGGGCCTCCAGGAGTGCTGGCTGGTCTAACTGGAACAGACCAAGTCCCAAATGTCCTTCAGTTCAATCATCCTTCAAACTCAGCCCAGGTGTTGCTGCTCTGGGCGGTCTGCCCACCTCTCCCAGCCCTATCTGGCAAGGGGCCCTCCTCTGGGCTCCCTCAGCTCGAGAAACATCCCTGAACATGTACTGATCACTCAGGGTTGTCCACTTGGGCCTGTTTGTGGGTCTCTTCTGACAAATGCCTTCCCCCATGGTACTCCTGGTGCCCAGTGTGGAGTCTGACATGTGGCACACACTCAGTGATACCTGTTGGTCAAATGTGACTGGATATGGATGAAAACTTAAGAAATATCAAGCAATTTGAGAAGAATCAAGTGTTAAACTGACTCTCAGGCCATATAAGGTCAGAGTAAGACCAGAGGAGTCAGGAGTTGCTTCCTGGAGGAGCTGACTCTTGAAGGGCTCAGAGGGGGCTGTCAGTAGAACTGGGGTTGGGCGGGTGGGGAGGTGCATGGTTAGTTGGCAGGTGTTGAATTCAGTTGACTGAAGGAGGAGCAGTGGGCCCGTAGGTCTGCCCTTTTTGGTCAAGCCCCCCAGGTAAACAGCTGCTCCACAGCCCCGCATGGTCGCTGGGAGGAAGAGCCTTCTGCTGCAGTGCCCTGGCAGCTCCTAAACATCCCGAGAATGAGTCTGAGGGAGGCGTGGGGAGCAGGCTGCCTCACAGGCCACAGGAAGACTGCACAGATGTGGTGTCCCTTTGGAGCATCTTCTCTACTTATTTCACAGTCCTGCTTCTCCCTCTACTGTCCTGCATCGTAGTCCTCACAACGATCACACCACATGAAGCTATGCCTTTGCCATATGCCCCCAGCATTCAGAGCAGCAGCTTCGGGACACTTCCCTGGCATGTTTATGTGAAACATGTCGTTGCCGCCCATGAAAGCCAGCTGATTGAAAGCCCTTCTGCTCAATTTTCAAAGTGTCCCTGGCAGCCCAGAAGACCCAACACATTCCCTTGACAAGATTCCTGCTTTACACACGAAGAGGATAGATGCAGCCCTGTGCCGACACCAGCAGATGCACGGTAATCTGGCTGTCAAGCTGGACGGCGACAACAGGAACAGCAGAAACGGAGGCTTGGGGTGGGAACGCTGTCACCATGAGGGCTAAAAGCAGCCAAATTACCCTTTTCACCAACATCATAGCTAATGACTCACTGCTTATTTACAAAGTAGAGCTCTTTTCCTTTCCAGAAAAATAAAGTGAATTCTCTAGAAGGTGCCAAACCAACAGAAGCAAAGACTGACTTTGGGTGCATGAGGGAACAGTGGGAGAGGGGAGCATCCTCTCCCACTCCTCACGAAGCCTCACACCAGTGCTCAGCACACTCACCCTCTGTCCCTCTCTCCCAACTGAATCTGGGGTAGTGCTCCCACCACCCCACAGAGCTGCCCAGTCTTGGCAGTGGGTACTAGCATACCACTGAACTCAGACATGGTGGCAGATGCTAAAGATGAGAGTTAGCTGGTGCCAGGTACTGCTCCAACTACCCTACTTCTGCATTAATTGAGCAGGTGACTGGGGTAGAGAGGTGGAGGGCCTCGTAAAAGGTCACACAGGGGCCAGCCCGGTGGCACAGTGGTTAAGTTTGCACATTCTGCTTTGGTGGCCCAGGGTCTGCCAGTTCGGATCCCGGGTGTGGACATGGCACCACTCATCAAGCTATGCTGTGGTGGGCATCCCACATATAAAGTAGAGGAAGATGGGCATGGATGTTAGCTCAGGGCCAGTCTTCCTCAGCAAAAAGAGAAGAATTGGCAGCAGACGTTAGCTCAGGGCTGACCTTCCTCAAAAAAAAAAAAAAAGGTCACACAGCCAGGAGGGGACAGAGTCAGGACTCCAGCCTGGGCTGCCTGGCTGGGGAAGCAGAAGCAATGTTCTACCTGCAAAGCCAAAGCTAATGGTAGGTCTGTAACACATGATTCTGGAGCAAGGACACAAGGCACACAAATCTAATATAATTTGGCGGAACGCTGCCTTCCCCACCAGACAGAGACCCAGGACAGTTCTGGAATAAAGCAGAGAGGAGGCCGAGAGGAGGAGATGCACCAAGCAAGTCTGAGGAGCATCAACCCAATGTCACCCTGCTATCACTCATTAAATTCAGTCCTTTAAAACAAAGTCTCTTAGTCTATTTCCCCAAAACTATGTACACAGAATGTTTTCAAAAGTAGGGCTGAAAGACTCCAAAGTTCAATAATTTGTTCAGTGAGTATTTATTGTACACCTGCTCTGCACCAGCAGTGGGCAGAGCTGGCAGAAGCTCCTGCTTCATGGAGCTCATTTGCGTTGGGAGAGTGGGACGGTGACCAGATGAGCACATCAGAGCCGGCAGTGCTCTGGAGAAAAGGAAGCAGTGAAGAGGATAGAAAGTGCTGCATGGGGACAGGGCGGGGACAACCAGAGGCTTAAAAAGGGCATGTGGCAGGCTGACTCTGAAGGTGGCCTCCATGATTCTGCCTCCCCTAGAATACAGGCAGACCTGCCACTCGCTTCTAACCACCAGAACACGGCGAAGGTGACAGGAATTATGCGACTGTGTGATTCCATAGCTGGCATCTCTCCCTCCCTTGCCGGCTCTGAAGAATGAAGCTACCGTGTTCTAGGTTCTGCCTGTGCTGGGAGGCCCATGTGGCAAGAACTCAGGAGCTGACAGCCAGCAAGAGACTGAAGCCTGCTAAAGCGTGTCCCCTCAGTCGAGCCTCAGAGAGACCACAGCCCTGCCGACACCTGGACTGCAGCCCTGCACAGGACCTAGCTAAGCTGTGCAGGGACCCCGACCCACAGACACTGCGATAATGACTGTGTTACACGGAAATGGAAAACTAACACAGTGGTCAAAGACAGCTGAGAAGGAGACAGTTGAGCGGAGATCTGAAAGAAGTGAAGGGGGAGCTCTGTGAACCTGGGCGCTGGGGTTCCAGCAGAGGGAATGGCAAGAGCAGAGCTCTGCGGTGGGAGCCAGCCTGGCTGGTTTGCGCTGGGTTCCAGACCCATCATAAGGGGGTCACTTACAGTCCTGGGAACAGGCACTTTGGAAGCACGTCAAGTGGCTCCACAGTCACGCTGGAGAAGTGCAAAGTGGCTCTTACATATAATCAACTACGCCTTTGCCCATATATTCTTGCACTGGAAGTTTGTTCAGTTTTGCTGCCTTTCTTTGGATGAACAAAGGGTTTCCACAGCAGGGAGATGAAACCTTTTCTTAGTGTCTTTGCACAAGCCCTGATGCTCAAAGCAGAACTGATACAAGGGAGAAGGAGGTCCACACAGGTCTGGCCAACAGCCAGATGGACCCTTCCTTAAGGAAGGGCTGGATGCCCACAGCCTCTCCTGACTCTCTCCCTTGCTCTACCAAGGGGACACCAGGTTTCACTGATTCAGTATGACTTAGAGGGAGAAAAGAATTTAAAAAGCCCAGAAAGCCCGTGGTCAAGAAGTCAAAGGGGAGGATAAGGAGGGAGAGTGGAAGGGAGGAGAAGACCTGCTCTGCCCTGGGTCCTGGGGTTGGAAAAGGAGAGGGGGGGAACAAGGGGGTCAATGGTGGGGAGGAGAAGGAGGGAGAAGGGGAGGAGGAGGAGAGAAGGGGAAGGCAGGGAGCAGAGGCAGGAGGGTTGGGGTGAGGGTCTCCTTTGGCATCTCAAAGCACAGAAATGGTCCCCAGCACAGGGCCATGGCCACATTGCCCAGGTGTGCCCTGCAACACTCCTCCTAGTGGGGCAACTTTGGACGACACTCACTTCTGCGCCTCCATTCTCTCACCTGCAAAGGTTGGTGTCAGTTCACGGCTGTGAGTGGTCTGACTGGTGTTTGGTGAGTCACAAACGTCATCACTGTTTGTGTAAATCATACACAGTGACTCACAAAAGGAGCTTCACAGGCCAAGAATGATTTCTCTAAGGCACAGCCACATTTAACACAGGCACACGACGAAAGCCACCTCCATCCGGCCTACAAGTGACACCAAGACTTCAGCTGGGCCCGCGGCCTACCTGCTCCATAGACCACCGAGTACACCACCTTCTTGGTCTGCTCTCTCTCCACGTGGGTCACGCATTCTGAGGGAATGTCTTTCCTATGGGGAAAGATGGCATGATGTCAGGCACATGGGCACCCTGTCTGCAGAGGAAGCCGCGAGAGTCCAAACCACGGACATTGTCCCATCACAGTTCTTTCTCTGGAGGTTCTTAATGGTTTCAGATCAGGCCTGTCATCTATGTAGGGGAGACATTCAATGTCTGCAGCATCTGGCTCAGCATAGGCCCTCCGAAGAGATGCTGATGGTGAGCCCATTGCAGCTGGCCATTCCCAGGGCATCCACAAACCAAAACCAAAAATGCTTTTACGAAAGGAGTGCCAACCCAACTTGAGGAAAGCCTGGTTCCAGAGCTGGGGTTCTGGGGCCTGGTGTCTGGTTCCTCTGCAGGACTGGATGAGCATCTTCTGCTTTGCCTCCCATAGATAGAGGGCCTGGCGGGTGAGCCCTGGCCTGGGGCTGCAGCACTCAGACAGAATAAGGATCAACTCAACATCTGACCGGCGTGTGAACCACAGCGATCTGCAAAGATTAGAACTGAGACGTCTGAGGAGCGCAGGGGCTAGTGGGCATCTGGAGCCCTTGCTCCTTGCTAGACCATCCTAGGCAGCCATGTGTCTCATCTGGACCAAGTCTCCCCAACAGAGGGAACACTTCAGATTCAGGAGAAGGGAGAGAAAGACAGAGAGACAGAGAGAAGGATAAGGAAAAAGGAAAAGGAATCTGTCCCCATCTTCGTGGTGGGCTCTGTGCTGGGCCCTCCCTCAGTGCTCAGCAAGGCCGTTGACAATGCCCTTAGTTTTCACTTGCTGCTGGCACTGAGCCTAGCGACCAGCCTAACGTGAAAGCTCAGAGTCTCCTCAGGTCTCTTCCGAGTGGGCACACACTCGGCTTTCTAAATTTCCCAGTATACACAGGCGCTTTGAATGCCCTAACTTCCCAAAGAATCTCCCTCCAGCTTTTCCTCCCAAGCTGTCAATGCTTTATTATCTGCCTCAGATAGAATCTTTTGCTCCAAGCGGCTGCAGGTTGTTTATCTTACAAGGTTTTTGAGCAATGCCCGCCATTTTTCCGCCCCGAGTGAGTTCTGAGTTAGGTGAAACAAGGCCCATGTCATCCTTCAGGCAGCCCCCAGACAAATCAGAAGAGACAAACACAATTCTTTGCAAATAATGTCTGCTTGCTCCCTTGGGACCCAGGGAGCAGGGTCCCACACTGGGCGCATGGACTGTTGAGCTGGTGGGGGGAGAGCAAGTGAAAATACCACAAAGTTCTCCTCCTGTTTTCAAGTTGCCTTTTTTTGATTTAGCATTTGTTTGGTTGCTGTAAACTGTTGACTGCTTTCCAGAGATCTGACAAAGTTGGTTCTGACCAGTTCTGCTTGATTTGGGATGTTTCTGTCAGGGAATAGGTCCTCGGAGCTGCGTACTTCACCATTTTCACTGACATCCTAGAGTTCTTACTTTCACCACCTGCTTTCCAAGTACCAATGTATTTCCTTTTGTCATTTTCCCATTGTGTTAAGCTATTTTGCCTACTTGTTTATCTCACCCTTGAACTTGGCATTGTTGACAGCTGTATTTAGATAAGAAGCAAAAAGCTAAAATGTACCCAGGCTCAGAACTAACATGTGTCAACTCTTACGTCACCAGGCACCCTCACTCCCCACCTAGTTCCCTTTATTTTGGAAACCCCACAGGTGCTCCAAACCTGCCCGGGAAAGACACTGCTGACAAACTAAGACTAGCTTTCTCTGCTACCCCTGAGGGCCACCCGCAATGAAAGCAGACGATGCCTTGGCTCAAACAGATGGATCTGAAGACAACTGGAGGGAGGCAGAGGAGCGAGGCACTTTGAAGCAGGATGCCCCTCAACCAAACTGCACAGGTGAGCTCCCCTCAGCGTGCTGAACGGAGTTAGAAAGTTCTGAGGAAGCAGCATTAAACTCTTCCAGAACCTGCTTTTTCCTACAGAGCCAAAACATGACAAGATCTAAACAATATAATCAATAAAAGATATTATGGACATATGTCAAAACCACGCTCTGATAATAGAGAGTATACTTTCTTCTCGAGCTCATATGGCATATTCACAATAACCCATCACCCATGAGGGCACACAGAAAACATCAAAAGGTTGCACAAGCTAGAAATATTAAAGTAACACTCTGATCACAGAGCAAGAAAACTAGAAATTAAAAACAAAAACAAAACCCAAAAAAGCCCATCTATCTAGAAATAAAACAAAAAACACTTCTATCAGACAACTTTTGGGTGAAGAGAAATACAAACAGAAATTACATAATTTCTAATGAAAACACTATGTGTCAGACCCAATGGATTACATTTAAAGCAGTGAGAAAATTTCATAGGCTTAAATGCCTATATTAGTAAAAACAAAAGAACAAAAGTATATGAATTAAGTTTTCAACTCAAAAAGTAAGAAAAAGAACAACAACAAAGAAAATCAAAAGAATACACAAGGAAGGAAATAATAAAGCTAAAATAAACTGAGGAGCAGAAATCGGTAAAGCTGAGAACAGCAAGACAAGAGATCAAACTGATAAATAAAAATCCTGGTTCTTATAAAAGATAAAATAGACAAACCATTAACTGGTTTAATCGAAAGGGAGCAAGCACAGATATACGATATAAGAAAAAAGGGAAAGTAACCACGGAGAGGCAGGAGGTTAAGAAAAACCTTTAAAAAATTATTTTGCACAACTCTATGCAAGTAAATTTGAAAATCCAGGTGAAATGGACAATTTCTTAAGAAAACACAGTTATAAAAGTTGGCCCCAGGAGAGATGAAGGTTAAACAGATCAACATCCATACAAGAAACAGAGAAAATTATTGAGGAACCACTCCACACAAAAGCTCCAGGCCCAGATGGATCAAAGCAGAATTCTATCAAACCTTTACAGACCAGAGTCCCATGCTGTATAAACTGTTTCAGAGTTTATAAAATGAAGAAAAAGTTGCAAATCTATTTTATTAAGCAAGTATAACAGTTAGACAAACATGATAAAGAGTGTATAATAAAGGGAAATTACAGACCAATATTTCCTATGTATATTGATTGAATATTGGCAAACAGAGTCCAATACTACATTAAAAAAAATAGTACCCCATGACCAAGCAGAGTCTATACCAGGAAAGCAAGGTTGGTTCCACGTTAGGAAATCTGTTAATGTAACTCACCACATTAACAGGACCAAGGAGAAAATTACATAGTTGTTGAAAAAAAAAGCTATGACAAAATTCAACATCTACTCTTAAAAACTCTTGAGAAAATAGGAATAGCTGGATATTTCCTTAAAATTATAAAACAATACACCTCAGTCCTAAAGTTAGTATCTTATTAATGGGGAAACACCAGAAGCATCCTTACTAAGGTCAGAAACAAGGCAAGGATGCCCACTACCTCTGCTATTACTTAACATTGTTCTGGAAATATTAGTCAAATAACTAGAGGCATACAAATTGGAAAATTAAAAAAGAAATAATCTCTAGTTGCAGATGACATGATAGTATTCCTGGAAATCCCTAGAGAATCTACAATAAAATAATTCAGAAAGATAGCAGGAAATAAAATTAATATAACAAGTCAATAGCCTTCATATACACAAATAAAATATTAACAAAAAAGATAAAATACTTAGGAATAAACCTAACAAGAAATGTGTAAAACTTATATGAAGAAACCTTTAAAACCTCCTAAAAGACACAAAAGTAGACTTGATTAAATGGAAAGGCATCCCTTGTTCTTCTTTTTTTTAAAGATTGGCAGCTGAGCCAACATCTGTTGCCAATCTTTTTTTTCCTCCTTCTTCTCCCCAAAGCCCCCCAGCACATAGCTGTATATCCTGGTTGCAGGTCCTTCCGGTTGTGCCATGTGGGATACCACCTCAGCACGGCCTGATGAGCAGTCTGCACCCAGGATCCAAACCTGTGAAACCCTGGCTTGCCGAAGTGTAGCGCACAAACTTAACTGCTTGGCCATGGGGCCAGCCCCAGGCATCCTTTGTTCTTGATTGAAATGTCTCAACATCATCAAGACATGAGCTCTCCCTATGTTAATTTGTGAATTTAATGTGATCTCAATAAAAATACGAACAAGCTTTTTTATGGAACTAGACAAGGTGATGCTAAAGTTCATATGGAAGAACAAATGCATAAGAATAGGTAGGAAAATGGAATAGAAGAGCTCTGAGGGGCAGCAGGACTCACCTATGTACAAACACACTAGGAGTTCTCTATAATCATTGCAGTGTGGCACAGGCACGTGAATAGACAGACCACTGGAACAGAACAGGAAGTTCAGACACAGACTCACCTACATACAGAAATCTAACATCATAAAGATGGCATCTCCAGTCACCCGAGCAAAGATGGACTTGATTAATGGTGCTGGGACAACAGGATAGACATTTGGAAAAAGATAAAAGAAAACATGGGCGCATTCCTCTATAATCTGCATGCAGAGAAAGGCTTTCTTACTATGACTCAAAACCCAGATGCATAGGGGTTGGCCTGGTTGTGTAGTGGTTAAGTTTGCACGTTCTGCTTCGTAGCCTGGGGTTTGCCGGCCCGGATCCTGGGCACGGACCTAGGCACCGCTTATCAAGCCATGCTGTGGCAGGTGTCCCACATGTAAAATAGAGGAATATGGGTACAGATGTTAGCTCAGGGCTAATCTCCCTCAAAAAAACAAAAATCCGGATGCAATAAAAGAAAAGACTGATAGATTACCAAAAAACCAAAACAAAACACCAGATCTTTTGCATGGCATAAAATACCATAATCAAAGTCAAAAGACAACAAACTAGGAGAAAATATTTGTAACATATATCAGAGATGAATGACTAATATCCCTAACTACAAAGAACTTTTAAAAATTGAAGAAACAAAGACAAAAAAAATCCTATGGAAGAATAAAAATGGCTGAAAGGCATGAGCTACATTTGATCTGTTGGTCCCCGGTGGCCACCTTTAAGCAGGGCCTCTGGCCCCTGGCAACCAAGGATGATTCTGGTTTG